ACACACACACACACACACACACACACCTGCATCACAAGGGTGCCCTGGGCCTTTCCTCCACTTCCTTCCAACTGAAATCAAATGAGCGCCCCCACCTCTACCTAGAAGGTCCTCCTTCCCAGACCCCCTTCCGTCAGCCTGGGGAGTTGGCCCCATGGACTGCAGTGACACGCATGTCTGCATGATGACTATGGATCTGTAGCTGGGATGAAGCCCACCTCCATGTTTCCAGAGCAGACTCAGAGACCAAAGCTGTGTCCTTCCCAGAGAAGCCACCCGAAGCTCTGGACTCAGCACCAGGGCGGCTTTTCCGAGCGGAAGCCCTGCTCCGTGGAGGAAACGGAGGGACAGGCAAGGCCTGGAGACAGACTGTCCCAGCGTGCTACTGGTGAAGCAAGCAGATATGCACTGCCCCTCCAGCGGCTGCAGAAATCTTTGAGGAAAAAAAGGGGAAAAAACAGCAAATAACTTTTTCAGACATTATCCAAGTCCACAAACCTCAAATGCCATTGCACTGCCATGAATCACAAGGAGAAACAAGTTCATGGTACTCTGAAGTGAAGATGATGGGAGGGGACATCAGGGCAGGGGGTTCCAGACTGGCTGAGTGAGGGTCCAGGGGGCTGGGACCTGGGAACCCCCACACTGCCTTTCCTGCCGGCCTCAGGCTGCAGAAGCCACCAGCTGTCACATGCAGGTGTGTTTCCAGGCCAGAGGCCCAGCCCAGTAGAGATCCGGACAGTCCTGAAGAAGCTCCCATGCCAGGCCTCCCAATCCCAGGCAGGTCGCAGACTCCACAGCTCCTAAGCAGTTTCTGTCACTTTGGTACACCTACCTCCACCTGCCCAAGCCCTCCAGCCCACACCAAGGCTCTTGGGGGTGCACGAACCTGCTGCTGGGAGAGCTGGGGCGGGTGGGAACCAGTGTGGGCAGCAGCAGGGGAGAGGCTGGGCTCGCTTAGTGTGAAAGGGCAATGAGAGGAGGAAGAGAAGAAAGTGAAGGCCTGGGAGCCAGGACATCCAGCCTATTCCGAGGAGCAGCCAGCCTGCCTGCCAGCAGCCACGCCCTCAATCCATCTCCAGGGTGGGATACCATAGCCAAGGGGGGACCCCGGGGACCCGGGGGAACTGGGGCCAAGAACGACAAAGGCCGTCTCCAGGCGCGGCTCCTCCGGCCCAGGTGGCCCCGGGCAGGACAGCCAGGGTGCGGGGAGGGCTCCGTGAGGGTCCCTGAGGCGCCCAAGGCCACCTGGAGCGACCCAGC